CCTATTAGAAGAATTTATATTTTATTGTAATTCTCTAATTTGAGTAGAATTATGAGATTTTGTATATATTTCTTATTTGTACGCACTCTATATGTAGTATATATCATTTATTAAAAGAAGAATAAACATATCAGTTTAAACCCTAATTACTTTTGAGCGAGACATCCATAGCAAATATGGCAAAGGGAGTCTTGGGAGCATATCAGAGTTGGCTAGATTGGTGGAGGTGTGACAACGCGGATGCCAGAAGGGGATGGGTTTGGTTTCTTGTTTCTTTAGGGTTTTTTCAACATTTTTGACATGGAATGGGTCTATATTAAAAGACCACTATTTGTATATCCGTATACATCATATGGTTTAGAAACATAGCTCACCACCCGGACCCGTACCAAATGGATTGTAGATGTCAATGTCATTCAAGTCTTATCATGTCAGAAATCTTTCTTAAGACGCATAGCAGAATCTTCACCATTTAGGAGTCTTTGACATCATCATTAAACGTGACAAAGTAGGGTATATATCAATACTTTATATTTTACCAAAGAAGGGAAAATTTCAAAATAGTAGTTACCATAAAAAGGAATAAATCACACTGATTGGATTATCATAGGTAATAATCATCAACCTCATACAGGGAAAGAAGAATTGTTTTGATGAATTATTCTGGTCAAAAGCTGGGTAACAATTATGTTTACTAAATCGCGGGGAAATCTGATAAAGCTCGATCGGGCACGTGTAGCTAGCTAGCTGCCTGCGACCAAATCTTCTGGTTATCTTCCACATATCCTGCAAACAGGTATAGTAATACTAAGCTCAATACCAATTTTGTGCGTCTCTCTCTCTTTCTCTCTCTCTCTCTCCCCACACGTACGTACCAGAGACAGAAAGAGGAAAGAAAACAGCACCAAATAGGTAGAAGCAAAAACTGGGTAATCTTTTGGACAAAAAAAAAAAACTGGTAATCTCTCGACTACCGATGATTCCTTTTCGTTTCCGCGAGAAAGTGTAGCTTTAATTTTCCAGATAAATTGTTTTTATATATGTAGTTGTGTAGCAACATGCATGCTAGGCCTGCATATTAAAATTGAAATTTGAATATTAATATTACTATAGGGATCGAACAAGTACATGAAAGCAAACTTCTTGTCTTTTTCGTCTTTTTGTAGCGCAGGCCGGCCGAGAGACAAAGATCTCTCTTGGGGTTTCCTGAGACAACTATAGCTAGTAATAGCTTTATTTTTTAATTTTTTGAAAAGAAGAGAAGTGTCTTGTTCTATTTCTTCACTTGTTGATGTATGTATGTATATGTATGTACTATGTATGTATGTTTGTTGGCATATTAATAATTAATGTTGTTGCTTTGGGCAGCACAAATAGTAGTAGAAAAAAAGAAAGAAGAGTGATATCTTCAATGGAAGTGAAAGGTGCATTTGCATTAGGAGGTGAAGTGAGGCGACTTCAAATTATCTACTTACTCAGTCATCGAATGGGTCGCGTCGATCATCCCCATCTCATTCGAGTACACCATCTTACCCGCACCGGCGTCTATCTGCGAGGTAGCAATCGATATCTATCGTATATAAATTCCTCTTCCTTTGTTAAAGTATTTGATACTGTACTTTGTAATATTTGAGATGATGTATGCCTGTTGATTAATGAATTAATCAAGCAATTCTTGATGATGGTTAGTATTGTTGTTGTTTGTCTCTAATTATGATCAAAAAGACGTTAAGAGGTGGCTTTCGGATTTACGAGGAAAGGACATGCCAGAGGCCTTCGCTTGGTCTTACAAGAGGTATCGCTTCATCGAACTTGGGACATTTTTCAAACTTGAAAAAGAGAAATACATACCATTTTGATGAGACCGCCATGAGCTAGTTAGTTATAATGATTTCATTTTCATTTTCATGGTAAGCCATTAAAATAAGTGAATATGGAATGGCAGGAGGTACAAGACGGGTTATGTTTGGCAAGACTTGCTGGACGACGACCTCATCACACCAATCTCTGACAATGAATATGTCCTCAAGGGATCCGAGATCATCTATTCCGCTTTTGGTATAACTTTTTACACACAAATATTGAATGTAATCAATTTGATTGATTTCCATTAATAATCAAAACCATTTATATCGACCCTGTATATAAGGTTAAATTGTTAATTTCCATTAATTTAGTATATATTATTCATATTTGGAATCGTTTTTGGTCAACTTATGATGACCACTGACTGTAACAGATAGTCCTCCGAAATCATATGCCGAAAAGGGAAGTTGCTTGTTCAAAGAGCAGCCCGTTAAGGATGAGGTTCAGCCACCTACTCTTTCTAAACAAGAGGCCTTCCATTTACACAAACATTCCAAGAACGATATAGATATCCAAACAAAAGTATCCTCTGAAATCAGCGACGAATCACCTCATGTGGGCTCAGAGAGGTCTACTTCGACCTATGAATTTGATGCAATGCAACCCCAAGCAGATGAGAACCACTCAGCTGACACACTCAACCCCAACTCCAACTATCAACAGAGCAACAAGTCAGAAAACTCTTCTTTCTATTCCAAGTTTTTATTGAAGAAGAAGAAGAACAAGGGCAAAGAAATGGCTCCATCTTTTTCTTCTTCTCCCTCTTCTTCGCATTCATCGTCTCTTCAATCACCTGCCGCACACAGTAGTAAGAGCAATTCAAAAGGCATGTTCCGCAATTTGATCACTTGTGGTGCCGTCGACACAAATGACGCCGTATTAGTCATGTTGAATCGGGCCAATAAAACAACTTCTTCCGACAAGTCTACCAGATGGAGCAGCCAAGACATTATCAAGGCTGATCGTATTTGTAAAGCAGATCACAAGAAGAGTGGTTCTGCTGGAGTTTTTGGGACTTGTTGGAATTCGCAGGGGCAGCCGCAGCAACCCCAAAAGCATACTAGTACTGCTACTAGGTGCGTACGTGTATGTCAATTAAATTCTTGATAAAAGAAGAATCATTTCAAAATTAATCAATACATGCACAACACAGAGGGTAAGTATATATAGGGTTCTTTCTACATTATAATATTTTTGATAATGATGACTGAAGACTATTAATACATATGCATGTATGTATGTATTGGCTAAGGCTTGCTTGTGTCTGGATTTGATGCTGTAGGAAAAGCTACGATGGAGAAAAGGGTTCAAACAAGCAGCAAAAGGAGCCCGAGTTTAGTAGCCAAAAAGTGGCTTCCGCAGCTTACAGGCCTGTCGGTGGGCCGCATTGCTCGTAAGTGACTATGGTAACTTTTCCCTCTTCTTCTTTACCCACTTTTTGTTACTTTTTTTTTTCCCCTTTTTTTGTTGTTTTTTTATAAAAGAGAGAGAGAGAGAGAGAGAGAGAGAGAGAGAGAGAGAGAGAGAGAGATGTGCCTATTGCTATTTCCGTAGGTAGGTTGATATCATAACCAAAGGGTATTGCGTTCTTTGACTAATGACCATCCAATTATAGGCATGTCGCCTGTGGTTATAAATTGGACGGGCTGGATGGATTGCTAGACCATAGTGAATTTAGTACCAGATATTAAATCTGGCTCGGTCTTACAACCTCACCTCACCAGATATGCAACGAAATGACAATCGTTTGTGTACTAAACCCCTTGACATTTTCATGATCAACTAAAGTGTAATGTGTTGTGTATGTGTGTGTGTGAGAGAGAGAGAGAGAGAGAGATCGAGATCATGACTCAATAATTAATCCTAAGTAATGGTGGACCGGCTCGGTGCAAAGTGTGACACTTATCAATTAGAGTTTTGCTTCTAACCCACTCAGAATCTCTCAGGTCTTGCAAGATTTAGTTTAGTTCAGTTTAATTGGCTTATTATAAAGGACACCTTTTTCTCTCTCTTTTTTTTTTCCTGTTGTATAACTATATACAGGTTCCCCTGAGACAGTCCTCAAGTGAAATGTAAAAATTTATAAAGTATAAGCAACATGTGTGACCATATCAAACTCGCAAAAGATAAAGAAAAAAAAAACAATGACTGTTAGCATTGCATTCATAAAGCTGGAACTGCAAAACCGATCAAATTGGCTAAAATTTGAATGACTTAATGCAGGCAGTGCAGGAAACAGTTTAAGCCAGAGAAATTGCACTCACACATGAAATCGTGCAGAGGAAAGAAAACTCTAAACAAGACTGCTGCAGCTTCTGTGGACAAGATACCTCAAATGGGATCAACGACTTCAACTTCTGAACAATCGTCTGCCGCCTATTTTCTTGACCAGCTCAATATGCACAGTACGGACTGATCACTTGATTTCAAACATACTGTTCCGTAGCCAGGATGAAAGGAAGGGGCTTTTCTTTCTTTTCTTTTCTTCTTTTACCTTTTTTTTTTCTCTTATGTAAATTGAAATACCATAGCACATTTGCACTGGCTGATAAAGGCAAAAGGAAAATATTACTTACATTATTCCCATTCCAACTTTGTTTAACATTCTTCCAGGTTAAGGGAACAATCCAGGATGATATTGTTTCCTGTTCACCATCACAAGGCTGGTCCAGAAGTGCGTTGAGAGAGAGAGAGAGAGAGAGAGAGAGAGAGAGAGAGCCTCTAATATGATGAGAAACCTAACAAGATTATGTTTCACCCGTAATACAGACTCCAGAGCAAGCCATATTGTGAAAGCCTGCAATAATTGAACACAAATGTAATCTAACAAAAATCTAACATAATTTGACGAGAGTACTAGACAGAGTTCAATCATGCACTTGAACAACAAAAGGAGTCCCCATTGGAGTTCTATTTTTCTGACTTTCTGCATCCCTGAACTTGTTGAAGTTAAGAATGAGATTGTCAATATAAAACAGAGAAACACATTGTATCCTGGGAGGGATGTGAACCCCTGGCATATGCTGTTGCACCCTGAACTATATACTAATTTCTACCTGAATTTGAATGAGTAGTGGTAATAAATAATGTATTTGGAAGTGACATTTCTGTTCATCCTAGGGGCATATATCTATCTAGTTACTTGAGACAACGGATTCAACGTGTTCCAGTACAAACTGATATAACCTCTTCCTCAAGTCCGTTATTCTCTTATCTACTGGAATCCCACCCTTGACCAAGTCATCCAACCATAGATTCACCTTTTTAAGCTGCCCCAGCAAACATGCAATCTCAGAGCTGCCTTCCTCTTTGTTCAATCTGAACCCCACATTTAAGGAATCCTCCAAGTACTTTAAGAACCATTGACAAGAAACTAAGAGTAGTTTTTCTATTACACTTGCTGTCTCTTTTAATCTCCTTTCCTTGGGGCAATCTTCCATCCCAGTGCTCATTTTCTTCACAGCTGGAATACGTCGTGGAGGATTTTGTTTATTTTGGGGTGAGCAATTTTCCAAGTTAAATTCCACTGGAGTATTCTCTATGACAATGTAATGATATTTCTCACAATTTGGAATTCCACCATTGCCTTGTGCTCTGAACAAACTGAATTTGGAAAGATTTGCTCCTAACGCAGCTTCCACCCATGAAGTGGCATTCTTACCAGTGGAACTTTTACACGCATGTGACACCCAACCCTGTAGGCCACCAGAACTGCTTGATTTCACATCTCGGTGGCCTGTGTTGAGCAAGGAGTCTACAACCTCTGCTGCTCTCACCATATTCTGATGGAGCTCCAAAAATTTATCAACCACTGGTCCTGCAGAAACTTTGTGAGAGGACTCGCTGAGTTCTGCAAACATGCTGGAAAAGCAAACTTAATCATCATTTCTTCACATGCAAGAGTAAGGGAGTAAATACTGTTGCTCGAATTAATTTAGAGCAGGCTAAGAAAACCCAATCAAACATTTAGAAGTTTCCTGTTCCATGCCAATATATTTTGTCATTAAACAGTTGCTAACTTGGACATGCTGAGTGAAAAAAAATAAATTGAAACTAAGCTCAAGTTTTTGCTGTAAGATGAAATTGCACCGCAGTGGAAGCCTCAGCAACTGCATACACAAGTGGAATCTTGTGTGCAACCCACTGTAGCATCACAACTGTCCTACTCCATACTGCCTACATTCTACAACAGTATAGGTTTACCCCAACCCAAACAGTCACCATAGCACAGTATTTTCAAATATCTGTTTTTATTTAATTATGCATTTCACTAATCCAGAATAAGGTCTATGAACATGATCGGTTCCCATCCTGCATATCTATAATTCTACTCTGATGTTCAAATCATATGAAGAAAACAATTTGCAATACCATTTACTCCCATACTAAATCCACATAAGAGTAAAAGCACTGTGTTGATTAGCACTTCTAACATAAATACATGCACCAACTATAATTTTTTTTAACCACAGCAAGCATAGGTCTGTAGAACATAAAATGCATACCACATGCAATGAATGACACCCTCAGCAGCTGATGCTTCTTCTAGTGCACGTACAGCACCAGAAAATGCAACGTTCCTATGACAAATAGCTCCCTGAAATGGTTAAGAACAATAAGCACAGAAAATAATGAAAACACAGCATCACATTATAACAGAAGCCTAAAACGATATGAACTTGGAATTGATTGCAAACCTTTCCAAGATCACTAATGATAGATGGGAGAGCATTCCAAGGAATTTTTTGATCGGACCAAGTTTTGAAACTTAGGGGCAGCCTAATAAGATGGTTCAAAAGAGCTCCCTCAGGCAAGGACTTCAATTCTTTCTTGGAAGACTTATTCGTTGGTTTTGGCGAAATGGTCTCATTTTTATTTTTCAGTGGTGAAACGCTCATACTTGGATGCTTAAGATGTGAATTGTTCTTAGTAAAAACCTTCTTATCAGAAACCACCTGCAACAACATCTGGTCCTCAGCTTCATGAAATGAGAAAGAGAGGAAAACAAGAAGAAAACTATTTATTGAAGTGATCTAGAAAGTGACTAAAAATAAAATTTCATGAACATTTAAAATTCGTTATACTTCAAATAATTAAATTCAGTTATGCATTTCATCAATTAAAGAGAAAATTGATACTTGCAAAGTTGCATAAGATAATTTAGTACACTACAAATTCAAATTGAAGGGGTTCTTTCAAATCACCAATCCAAAGATAGCGTAGATCTTTCAAGTTCAGGTAGAAATTAGCATATAGTTCAGGGTCTAACAGCATATGCCAGGGGTTCACATCCCATTTATCCTGGAAGGGATGTGAACCACTGGCATATTCATCTTTTTACCGATTAACATGAATGTTTTGGTGCAAATGTGGAGACAGCCACCATTAAGTAATCAAACTCCAAGAACGGTGGTTCGAAAGCAGGGTGCAGAGGAGAAACAGTATTTCTCAAGAGAAGGGATGGTGGTTGAATCTAAAATGAGTAAAGATGGGCTTAGGTGATATAATTAATATAATTTTACATCTGATACAGGTTGAACATAACTAGTGCAGGGCAAGGCAAAGAAAGGAAATTAAAAGAAGAAAAAAAAAAAAAAACTTGGTTTAGCCACAAAAGGGGGCACACATTGAAATTTGAAAGCAAGCCGTAGAAGGCATTCATAAATACTAAGTGTACTGAGACAGAGTAAGAATTTTAGCGCTAGACTCAAGTGGAGATTTGTTGAAAACAGAAAAACCATGCAAATGAAACAATTAGAAAAATGCAGAAAAAGATGTGAGTCAGCAATGAAGGGAAGCACTCATATAGTATATACTCTATATATATATATATAGAGAGAGAGAGAGAGAGAGAGAGAGAGAGAGAGAGAGAGAACAAACAGCGGGAGAAAGTAGTGAAGGAATGGAAGAAAGGTGCTTAGACTGAGATTTGAAATGCGAGGTAGACGTAGTAGTCCGTGCATCCCAAGCCTTCCTGGCTGAATCCAAACTCAGCCTCCTTGTTGAGTCCACCACCGCCAACCTATTGCTGCTTGCCCTTTCATTATCAGTGGTCTGTGGACTGAGTGTGGACTTGGACTTGGGCTTTGGCTTGGCCTTGTTATTGCCCTCTTTCCTGTTAGCATTAGAGGGTTTCGTTTTTGTACGAGTCGCTGCAACAGGTGGTCTCGCGGTGGAGAGCAAATGAATGGGATTGGGATTGCCAAGGCAGAGAGGGGGTGAGGGCGAGAGAGCCCTCTTGCTCTTGGGGATGGGCTTCAACCCGCGAAGGACCGGCACAGGGGAGGCCGAATCCAGCTGAGTCACGTACACCAACTGCCCCAGCTGAATCTTGTCGCTGTATATTAAATCCAGGTCGACGTCGTCGTCGTTTCCTGTGATGGACACGTAGGCCGAATGCAGTGAGTCAGACAACTTCAAGAAGAAGCCTCTGGGTCTACTCTTCCAGTTCCAGGCATTGTCTTCGTCTCCCGGCCAGGGCACGATCTCGATGACTTGCAGCACCGCCGACCGGTGCTCTCCGGTCACCTTAACGTCCTTGTTGCCCACATTGTCCAGGAGCTTCGATAGCACGCCAGGCGTTAGGGATGCCATTGCTCCTCCGCCACTTTGATGGATCACTGTTTCAGTATAATAGAACTAGTACGTAGCTGGCCTCCTGCTCTCCTTCAAGAACCTTGCCGAGTCCAAAGTCCAGAGTCTCAGCTGCACCTGCACTATGACTGCTGTTGTGCAACACAGACCTGACAGTGACAGGCTGATAGATATGCTTCATAGTCTGATCATAGGTTGATACAGACTAGACTAGACTAGAAAGTAGAGTATTCGACAAGTCGCTCTCTGTCTGTCGAATCTCAATGAAGCCATTGGGGAGGCAGCTTTTTCTTCGTTTTCTGCAACATTTCTGACACGTGTCAAACGGACGTCTACTTTGCTTGAGATTTGTACTCTCGCACACAGCTTTTTAGGTTTATCCCGCATAACTAATATTTTTGAAAATTGAGATTATTTTTATTTTTTTGAAAATTGAGATTGTTTTAGGTGTCTCGTACTCGTTGTCACGGGAGATGAGATCACGCACTCTACTGCTTTACTTGTTAGACCAACGGATTTCTAGGAGTAATAGCTCTTGAACTTGTGTCCGGTTTTTGCTCTTTTGAATTCGAAAAATGGTTGTTGTACTTCTTTAATTCCACTTTCGTCAGCACCCAAATGATCATTTTACTCTTTGATTTGACGAAAAATATGACAGATGATCAACTGTGAGAGAGAAAGTGAAGTTGAGTATTACCAAAGCCAATATTTGAGTTGGAGAACTCTAGCAAATAACGATTATTGCGCTTAGTCACCCCATTTTGCTGGGGTGTATAAGGACATGACCGTTGCTGTTCGATGACATGGCCGTGAAAATATGTTGTAGATTACAGTTGACATATTCATCGTCATTGTTAGAATGGAGAATCAAACATTTTGGCAGTAAATTGGGTCTCCACCAATTTTTTTTGAACGGTTGAAATACTGAACAAACCACCCATTTAGATTTAAGGAGGGAAATGCAAGTCATACTGGTGCAATCATCTATAAATGTAACAAATTATCGAGCCCAACAAGAGTAGGAACTTTAGCATGACCTCGAACATCGGAATGGATAAGAGTAAAACAAACTCTTCTATGCATACTTGTCACCTTTGTCATTCTTCTTTCTAGATGACTTGTGACTATCGGACTTGCCACTCTCCTTTGGCTTGTTGTCTCCCCCACCGAATTCATTGTTGTCTTTCTTTCCTTTGAACTTGGAGTCGCTTTGATCATTCTTCTTGAACTAGACAAGGGACTCAGCTGCAGCAATTGCCTCTGACAAGGTTTGGACATGTCTCATTTGTAACTCCAACTTGGCCCAATTCTGTAGGCCAATCATGAAGTACATGAGTTTGTCTTCATCTGTCAAGTTAGGCACATCAAACAATAGGTTGGGGAATGTGGTGACATAATCTTTCACGCTCCCCATTTGCTTTAGCCATCTCACCTTCTCCTACCCCATACTTGGCATTCTTTGGATAGAAATTCAACATAATATGCTTATTAAATTCATCCCAAGTCTAAAGTTTAAACGTACCTTGGTTGATCTCCATGGATCGATGACTCCGCCACATGAGAGTACTGTCGGTAAGAAACAACGTCGTTGTAGAGATTTGGGACTCATCATCGTCCATCTTAAGATACTTGAAATACCTTTCGATATTCCATAGGAAAGTGTCCAGCTCCTTCACCTCTCTCTTCCCATTAAAGGATTTGGACTTGAAAGTATCTAACTGTTTGGGCCTAATTTGGCAAACCCAGCCCAAAATTAAAGAAGCCCATGTCAATTTTTGGCAACCACCAAAGTTTACCGTGAATTTGGGCCAATTCTTGGCACGCCCAGTCCGTTTCTGTCAAGAGGCCCACAACAAACATTTGGGCTTTTTCTAACATGGATCAGGAGTCAAAAACCAAAATGTTGAAATAGGCCAAGACCCTTTTTGTAACAACCCGATCCTTAATTATGATTTTATTCAAAGAAATGACTAGAATACCCCCGGAATATTTTATTAGGTTTAAAGTTGACTTTTTGACCGGAAAGGGATTTGGGAATTTCGATTACGCCGTTCCGCAGAGCACATTGAGATGAGTCCGTAAACATATGGTGGGCTCAAATCCGAGTTGTAACGAGAGAGATACGATCAAAATTCAAGTAGGGGCAAAATCGTAATTGTACCAAACTGGTTTTTAAAACCAGAATCTCTCTCTCTCTCTCTCTCTCTCTCTCTCTCTATGTGGCTGGGCATGCGACAGAGTCGTGCTCCTCCTTCCGGCCGAACTATTTTTCGATTGGCATCATCACGTATGGCCACCATCTGGGTCGGGACTGGTCCCAAAATGACCGGGCCATCGTCCTCTTCCAGCCCCACCCGATCTCCGCTGCAGCCCGCCACCATAGTTGCCGGAAAAGCCCAAAATTCAGTCGGTTTTGATGAGTTTTTCACGGAGCTCATCCTCCCTCCTCCGGCCACTGTTTTCCGCTATTGTGGTATGGTTTCTTATCTAATTTTCAGTCTCTAGCAAGTGGTTGGGTAGGTTTTCATCAATTTGAAGCGTCGATAGCTCGATTTTCAAGTTAAGATTAGGCTGACTTTTGGGATCGCTATTCCGACCACTTTCGGCTAGTTTTTAGGGTAGGTCCAAGAACAAAAGTGATTCCAAACAGGGTATTACACTTAGGGTAGGATTTTGGGCTGGCGGTTTAGAGTTTTACCGGCCGCCGAAAATTGATCAAGCCACCCATTCGCAGCTGGCGCGTGTGCTGGCACATGGGCAGCAGGGTGGGGACCACTTTCAGTCCTAGAATGATCCCTTGGTCCTCACGAGAGCGTAGGAATTCGGGGATCTCAATTCGGATAACGTTTGAACCCCGAATGGATCTCGCCTACTGTACAATTTTCGAGTTCGATATGTTTGAGCCATTGGATCGTAGTTATTTTCAGGTATGTTGATCTAGGTAATTTCATGATCATATACGACTCGACAGATCGTAAAACGAAGTCCCGAACACTCCAGAAATGCCAACCATAGGGCTAGGTTTATAGTAACGAGTCTTGACCGAAATGGAGTTTTCTAAATCATGTTACGGGTTAATTAGATAGTCATTTATAGGTTGCAGCCCGGATAGAAGCGGTATCTCCAAGGTCTGTGAGGATTGCAGATCGACCTGCGAGGATAGATAGTTAGTTATAAGTTCCAGCCCGGATAGAAGCGGTATCTCCAAGGCCTGCGAGAATTGCGACCCTTCCTGCGATGAGGGAATTGACAGTATTATTGGAGTTGCCGAATCAGGACTAGAGGAAAGAACTATGTGTGGCTTGATCCCTCAGTAAGGGTACGTAGGCAGCCTAAGGTGACAATGTGCAGCCACGAGTTGGAGTCTTTGAGATTGTTAGTGTATTATTGATATTCTGAAAGCTGAGATGAATGTTATTAACAGAGTGATTTATTTGTTTTATTGAAGACTGAGGCCAAAATAATACGATGCTTGATTTTTGATATAATTTGATACATGCTGGCAGTTGGGTTATATTTGTATATGCTTGTTTGACATGTGGAAGTTTTGGGGAAATGTCCAATTTTTAGGGGAGACTGCCAAATTTTCAATAGAAGTCGTATTTGAATTTTGGGTTAGAAGGGATATTTGGCCAACTATGTCTGATAACCACCAGGTGTCGGACACGCACAGGGTTCGACTCGGATTCCAAAGTTGAATTTGGGTCGGGTCCTTTCACTTTTATCAGATTGTGAATTTAGCCCTATTCTAAATAAACATCATTAACCATTTTGTTAGAAAACTCACTCTACCCAAGGAGGAAGCAAGTCAGCCAAAAACTTTCTAAAAAAGGTTTCTCTCAAGAAATCCCCATATGACTTTCTAACCTTAGAAAAAGTCAAAACTTTCAACTAAACGCAGGGGAGGTGATGGGAGTTAATGAAAACAGGTCTTACAGGAAGACCTCTCCATTTTTCACAGCAAAAAAAAAGATTAAAATCCCTTTCTATATACAAAGAAATTTTGCAGTAAAGCATGTGTCATTTCCAAGAGATAAGAAAACTACATTTTTTGAGAGATAAGTAGGGAGCAAGGGAGTTATTCATCAGGAAAAGCAAACTGACCATCATGGTAGATTGCATTCTTACAAAGGGCAATTAGAGAATAAGAAGGGAGTTGATTTTCTTTTTGGGAAAAAGTAAGGAAAAAATCTCCATGGGAACCGACTACTGATGGTTCTTCTCTACCAGAATAGATAGCTTCCCCTTTTTTGTGACATTTCAAAATAAATATCTTTTGAAAAGATTTGATGTCCATTATTCAAAGATTAAAAACCCCACTCCAGTCTTTCTTATAAAATAAGAGAGAAGGTGAACAGATAAGACACACCCAAAAAATCAATGAAGACAAAAACTCTCAAAGTCATAACTGACAAACTCAAAATGATCAATTGATCTCAAAAGCCTTCAAACACTGAAGCAATCAAAGCTCATTGAGCCACAAGAAGTAAGTTAGCTAGAACTCAAAAACTCTGAATTCAGTTCAGCTTAGAGAAACAGTTTACAAAGTGAGATTTCTCTCGTTATAAATTTGGTTTAGCATGGGCCAGATCAAGCAGAGTTTAGGGTTCTTATAATATGAAAACCTCAACAAATTTATGGAAAGCCGTGATCAAGCAGAACAGGTACTATAATGCAGTTCCAGCTCAGTAATCATCAAATCTAGCCACTTCTGCCCCTTTTAAACTGAAGAGGCTCCAATTCTGCCAGTTCAAAAAGCCTTCCACGACTTGAAATAGATTAAAGTTTTGCCAAACTCGAACGTTGGTATCGATTTACAGCTGAAACTTGACAGTTGAAGGTGTCGATGGTCCAATCCATCACAGACATACCCAGTCCAGTCCGGCTCAAAAGCAGTTATCCTGGTAGAAATTGAAGTCCAATGCTCTTTTGTCTTTTTTAGATGGTCTTTCTCTTTCTAAGCTTTGTAAAAGGCAGTTCTGCCTAAAATAGTTCACTTTCTTATCATTTATTCTAGCCAGAACTACCAATTTTTGT